TATTTTCTCGCATTATACATTTTGCGTTTTAGCTTTTTGACTTGGTCTTATTCTAGAGATTATTGCTGTTCCATTCATTTTACCTTGAAACTGTTTGCAACTTGGGATTGCTAATCGAAGCCATTGCGTTTCGATATAATCTAGTAAACGGAATAGAATCCCTTATTAATAAAATAGTTGAGTTTTTCATACCTAATAAACTGAACGGTACGCTACGCAATATCTTTGCCTATCGACTGTATCATTGAAGAGCTGGTCCAAGCCATTCAAGGTGTTCATATTAATTTGCTACATTTGATCACTTATGTGTCATTGTGATTCTTATCACATATGAACAGGTTATCTAGATGGAAAACGATCGATTTACTTTACAGTTTTTCTTTTACTCCTTCTTTTCTTAGGGCAATGTTCAAGGTATCTTATTTTTCCAATCGTGCCTTTTTGCTAGGATATCTTCCATTCTTAACGAGAATCGTGTTCTGTGCAGTACAAATTAGCTCAAATATATAATTAAGGGCTTCAAGTTTTTCCAAATTGTGAAGAATAAATTATCTTTATTTTCTTATGGTTAAGCCATCGTCTTCGTGACCATGACTTGAATTCCCATTAATTAAATGTTATTAATCTATAAATTCTTTTCGCGCTTATTTTCTTGTATACGCTAAGATGTTTGAAAGTTATTATGCTTATCCTACATTTATTTGAAAATTCGTCTCAATTATATTTCATATTTATGTACTTTGTATCTCAAGTCGATGTTACTTTTTTTAATTGCAAACTCGATTACTTTTATCACTATTGTTTTGCAATCTTTTTATGTTTTCAAAAACGTGTTTTTAAGTGATTTATTATATACTTTTTTACCCTAGTGATTCACTTAATTAGATTTTTCCTAGAAATCAAATATTCTTTTTATTCAAAAAATACCTTTTCATTATGCGAGGAAATGCTGGGTTTCAAGTCATCTCTTGTTTCATACCTGTTAGGATTACTTCTATTTCGAGTAAGAGTGTCTGATGAAGAGTTTCTTAGGTCGATTCCATCAGAAGACGACGGCGGATTCCTCTTGACCAGGTGTCGATTGGCTTTACTGAAACATTCATTTTGACGCTGCTTCCGAGGTAATTTCTATAGATTCCTGTGAAAAAGTGCTAAGCTTTCGTCTGTCATATGCCGAACGTCATCAGAACAAGGTATCATCCT